TCCCCTCGCTGCTGTGGGAAGGGCTTTTCTGCAACCGGACGTTCGACATGTATGCCTGCTGGCCTGACGGGAGCCCCGGCACCACCGTCAACATCTCCTGCCCCTTCTACCTGCCCTGGTTTGAGAAAGGTGATGATGGCCCTCTGCCACCCAGAGCTGGAGGCCAGGGTTGAGCCCTTGCCAGGGGGGAAGTGGCTCTCGGGGTTTCCCCTCCTGCCTGCTGCCAGGGGGGAGAGGGACCCACGAGCTGACCCGGGGTAAGGGGACCTGTGGGGCACAGAGCAGAGACAGCTCATGCCTCACTCACACCTGCCCTGGAAGGGGGTCTTTGGGGCTGAGCAGAATCCGATCCGTTGTCCCAGGAGAGGGGTTTGGGGGACCCCAAGGGGAATGCATGTGTGCTCTGTGTCTGCAGTGAAACACGGGCTGGTGAGCCGCAGGTGCGGTGCTGACGGGCAGTGGGTGACGGTGAACGGCAGCCAGCCCTGGCGGGACTACTCGCAGTGCGAGGAGGAGATGGAGTCCACCGCCGAGGAGGTGGAGTGCTCAGCCCGGCCGCGGCAGCTGGGCAGAGACGGGGAGGGACAAGGAGGGATGGGCAGGGGCACCCCGGTTGCCCCTGGGGTCACTAACGCAGTGCCCGCTCACAGGAGGGGGCCCGCCGGCTGATGGTGAGCTTCAAGGTGCTCTACACCGTGGGGTACTCGCTGTCACTCCTCACCCTCGTCTCTGCCCTGCTCGTCCTCACCATCTTCAGGTAGGAGAGCTGGGGGATGCAATGCTGCCACTCGTCCTTCCTGGCCAGTGATGGCCAAGCCGTGGGGTGTCCCCACCAGCCCCTTGACACCTTCACCCTCCTCAGGAAACTCCGCTGCACCAGGAATTACATCCATGCCAACCTCTTTGCCTCCTTCGGGCTGCGGGCGACCTCGGTGATGGTGAAGGATGCGCTGCTGGAGAGGCGCTGGGGCATGGAGGTGGTACAGGTGGCTGACTGGGAAGCCCTCCTGAGCCATGAGGCGAGTGCTGCCACCCCCGGGGGGGCCTGCTGGAGGCTGGGCTGCAGTCAGGATGGGGACCCTCACCCTGGGGAGGGGTGTGCAGCTGCGTGCTGGTGCAGCCCTGGGCACTCCGTGGGTGAGCTCATGGGGTGCTTGTGCCCTGTTGGGTGAGCTCTTGGGGTGCCCATGTGCCCTGTGGGCAAGCTCGTGGGGTGCCTGTACTGCCCATGCACCCAGCGGGTGAGTTCTTGGGATACCCTTCCACTCAGTGGTCAAGCTTTTGGTGTGCCCGTGCTACCCTACACCTTCTGGGAAAGCTCTTGGGGTGCCCTTGCACCCAGTGGGTGAGCTCTTAGGGTGCCCGTGCACCTGGTGGAAAAGCTCTTGGGGTGCCCGTACACCACTGGGCAAGCTTTTGTGGTACCCTGCACCTGGTGGGTGAGCTTTGGGATACCCTTGCACACAGAGGGCGAGCTCTCAGTGTGCCCGTGCTGCCCGTGGCCCCTCTGGGCGAGCTCTCGGGGTGCCCATGCCCCCCGGCACGCTGCCAGCCTCACGGTGGGTCTCCTCTGGCAGGCAGCGCTGGGCTGCCGGGCGGCACAGGTGCTGATGCAGTACTGCATCCTGGCCAACCATTACTGGTTCCTGGTGGAAGCTGTCTACCTCTACAAACTGCTCATCGGGGCCGTCTTCTCCGAGAAGAACTACTACAGGCTCTACCTCTAC